TCACACCCTTCTTTCCTTTGCACGCAGTATATAAGTCGGAACGGCCGGGATCGGCCGACTATATCCTATAGCTGCCATATAACTGATTGATCGGAAATGCCATAACTTTGTTGTTTGTAAAGTTAGAAAGTTGGGATTTTCTATGAGTTTTATATTTGGCCAATCAATAAGACCTACCAAAAATCATAAGGATCGGCCGACTATATTCTATAGCTACCATATAACTGAACGATTGGAAATGCCATAATTTCGGTGTTTTTAAAGTTAGGAAGTTGGGATTTTTATGAGTGTTAAGAATGCATCATATAAATAATTTTATATTTAATAATATATAATAATATTTATTTTGATTTATTTGTTTTTATAAAACAATTTTTTGAACAAAACAGTCTACGGTGAAATATATTTCAGTTTAAATGTGGGAAACCGTTTTCAAATTATTTTGATATATTTTTTGAGTATTTAAAAAACTAAAAACTGTTAAAAACTTTAAAATTTGGTTTTAATTGTTGTTCTATTATTTGAATGTAGTTTTAGACAAATTAAAGTGTCCATTCTGGTAAGTTGTGACAAAAAATAGGCAATTTTCAGGAATTTTTTTTTAACAAAGAAAAACACAGACACTTCAAACTTCAGGTATATACGGACGGACGGTGATGTTGATCAAGAATATATATACTTTATAGAGTCGGAAAAGACTCCTTCACTGCGTTAGGTATAAAAATGAAAATATAACGAGGAACGAAGGGTGTGTGCAAAGTTTCAATTCGATATCTTTAAAACTGAGAGACTAGTTCGCGTCGATACAGACAGACGGACATGCTTATATGAACTCAGGACGCGATTTATAGGGTCAGATATGTTTCCTTCACTGAGTTGCACACTTTTGACCAAAATTATAATACCCTCTGCAAGGGTATAACAAGAAAGGAAGTAAATATCGGCAAGCCGAGGTTTATATACCCTTGCAGTTATTACAAACCGACTACATTTCGATTTCTATGCCTATATTACTAAAATTAATGAAGCTTTGTCTCTGCATTTTGCCATCGTTTCTATGGCAGCCGTAAAAACGTGCTTTCGTAGGAATTTTTTTTAGAAAATGTTTTTGAACTCAACACGTGCCGCTTGGGGAAGTCCTTCCGTCGATTCAAATGATGTGAAATATAAAAATTAAATATGATGTTATTTTAAATACTTTTGTCTATGGTCCCAACCAAAATTGTGATAAAAACTGAAAAAAGAAAAACTTGCGCATATGTTTTTAGCTACAAATTGTTATGTAAAATGAAAAACTGTAATTGTTTTTTAATGATTCTGCTACCAACCATATTTTAGATTGTTTTTAGATTTTTTAACACGCCACACAAGGATGGACCTTGTTTTCGTGTATTGACAAAATATTTCTAAAGATCCCAAAAGATCCCATTCTTGGGCAAATCAATTATGGTCATAGCCGGTCATAAGCAATCAGGATGTGTTGTTACAGAAGACGACCGTGTCTTTCACGACCGAGAATCCATAAGTCTGCCGGGTGTCGTCTGCGGAGTCGCCGTCGACCCAGATGTCTTGCCAGACAGTTTACATGTGTGAGCAGACGTTCCCGGTATCGACTTGAGGACTTAAAAATTGTCTCCACTTCACCCCCAGCATCCTCCTGAGAGCCTTTGTAATGCACGTTTGCACCCTTTTTAGGGACGAATCAGGCCGTGCCCCAGCAAGATATTCCCCAGTTTAAAGTTGGAAGGACAATGGCCTTAAAAAGCCCCACCTTGGCTTCAAGGGATAGTCCGCTACCTGGTCCATTTTGTCAGGTTTTGTTCTTGCTGATCGACAAACTCGATCAATTTGTCCCTTCCAACAAAGGCGACGGTCTAAGGTAACTCCGAGGTACGTCACCTTATCTTCGTGCTTGAGCTGATTCCCATCAATGTGAGGGGTACGCGATCGGCCAGGGCGGATGCAAATGTTGCATGCTGCGTTTTGTCAACATTAAGCGCAATGTTTCATCCAGAGGCCCAGCACTCCAATTCGTCCAAGAATTTCTGGAAACGTCGGGAGGCAGACGTAGTGATGCTACTAGCTGCAAGAAATGCAGTGTCATCTGCATATGTGGCCAGGAGTGTACCACGGTATCGTGGTACTCAACCCAACTGGGTTTGGAAGATCCGAAGTGTAAATTGTATACAGGACCGGACCAAGGACGCTTCCCTGCGGGACACCAACATGAATTGGGCGAAGTCCAGAACGCTGTCCACGAATATCTACAGCAAATTCCCTATTTTCTAAGAACGATACAAAGATATTCCAGAGTCTTTCAGGCAAGAGCGGCATTAGCTTGTAGAACAGTCCTTCGTGCCAAACCCTGTCAAAGGCCTGTCGAAGGTCAAGGAAAACGGCTGAGCAGTATTTGTGATCTTCGAAAGCACCCAGAACATGGTTAACTACTCTGTGCACTTAGAACTCGATAGCACAATGGCGGCTACGGAAACCAAACTGGTGGTTCGGAAGTGCGTCTTCAAAGACGTTTATAGCTAAAAGTCTACTAAGCATGATCCGCTCAGGGCCAAATGAAAGCCCTAACCTAGAGATTGTTGTCTGGACTTCTTCACTTGTTGCAAATTCAAATGGAGTTAAGCGATTTTCAAGATCATCAGCAAATACTTCGGCAATCTCGGAATCACTGTGGGTCCCATCACTACGTTTAAGGGAAATCCTCTGAAGCGGCTGTCTTTTAAGGTTGCGCAGCTTGTCCATAAAAAATTGTGACTTGGCCGAACGGGGGACTTTTCTTAGCTCGGACACAGTAGCCTTCAACCTTGCTATAACGATAGTATGCCTCGTCCTCATCCAGACACGGCGAATCGCATGACCGTTTCTGGCCAAGGCAACAATTTCTGGCTTTGAATAAGCCCAAGATGAAGGAGGAATAGGTATACTTCTAGGAGGAGGGGCAGCTTGATGGATCATTGGATTTAAATATAACAAGAAAGGAAGCAAACTTCGGCAAGCTGAAGATATATACTCTTGCAGTTATAACAAAATGACTAAATTTCGATTTATATGCAAATATTACTAAAAACAATGTCGATTTTGAGCTGCATTTTGCCAACGTTTTTATGGCAGCTATATGACAGATTTTGACAAAGCGTAATTCTGATTTAGTAAATAATTACTATATCTCTTGCACAGGGTATTATAATTTTGGTCAGTCGTCCTAAAACATGTGTACGTAGATCAAGTTTGAAAACTGCCCCGATCGGATGTCTATATCCTATAGCTCCCATGGGAACTGTAACGACCTGATTCTTTATTTCTGCTCGCTACGTAAACGTGCGGCTAGCTCAGAGAGGTTGTGAGTTCGTTCCACCAAATTTATATTGAGTGACCGCCCGTGACCAAAGGATAACGCCAGAAATGATTAGGTTGGTGCTGGTTTATTGACTCTCTAAAATATAGCCTTATTGCTATTATTCTGCTGCCCGTTGTCGCTGTCTCCGGCTGCGTTGCTCCTGGCTCGCTGCTGCTCTGCTCCTGGCGTGCTGCTGCTTCGCTCTTGACTTACCGCTGTGTTGCTTCGGCTTGCTGCTCCGGGTGACTGAGATCGGTACGACTCCACCAAAACCCTGGATGTTATGCGAGCTTCCCTACCGGGGCCGGCAAGGTGTATCGCCTAGCAGGTGAACCGAAGTTACGCCTTATCGCCTAGCCACCTTTATCGCCTGGCTTCCGGAGTTCAGCCTGGACTTTGTCGGCAAGGTGTATCGCCTAGCAGGTAGAACAGAGTTCTCCCTTATCGCCTAGCCACCTTTATCGCCTGACACCGCGCAAGGACTCCCTAAGCTTGACTTTACCACGACCTAGCACCGTTGGATCTCAGCGTTGTAGCCTCAGCCTTGTAGACTTGTCGTCGTTCGGCGTCTCGACTTTGCGATCTTGATCCTTGGGCACTTCGGTTTCGATGTTTACTTATTTCGCGTTCACGCACTCGCTCTGATTCTCGCACTCGTACTGTCCCGAGCTGCGCTTGCGCCGTCCTTTTTATAGGCGCTGTATGTGCCGTTATTTCCCTCGGGTCCAAGGTCCACTGAGGTACCGTTAATTCACGGTGTGTCCTCTTTGGGCGGGTCCGAAGTCCGCCAATTTACCGTATGACCCCGTTGCCCTTGCCGGGCGCGGGTCCAAGGTCCATCGAGGTACCGTTAATTCACGGTGTGTCCTCTTTAGGCGGGTCCAAAGTCCGCCCAATTCACCGTTTGACCTCGTTGCCCTTGCCATATGAGGGTCCAAGGTCCGAATGTTTCCCGTTTGACCTGGATGCCCTTCATTTCTCCGGTTTTCTCGCCTCCTCCGCTGTTGCTAGGCCGATCTCCTGCATAGAGATTTGTGGGGAGTTTATGACTCCTCACATTTCCCCTTCCTTCGGAAACGTAATGAAAGTGGTGACTTTCCCCGCCCTTTATGTTTAGACTACTCGAATTCCCCGCCTGACTTGTGTGTTAGATGTTCCCCAGACAGTTCCCCGAAACACTTAACCTTTGCCCAGACTGTTCTCCTGTTCCCCAGACAGTTCCCCGTTCCCCAGACTGTTCCCAGTTCCCCAGATAGTTCCCAGTTCCCATTTCCCAGACAGTTCCCAGTTCCCAAGACAGTTCCCAGTTCCCCTGCGTGGAATTCGAATTTTCCCGCCCAGACATTTCCCCAAAATAAAAGTCACCATTTCGCTTTCCCTCGGTCCGGCAACTCCCTAGAATCTCACCACGATCGCGTTTATCGATTGTGGGTTCCAGTGTTGCCATCGTCGTTGCCTTTTCGTTGTCTTAAGTTGCCATTTGAATTCTTGAACATAGAAATAACCAATTTTGTTAACCCATCGATCGCAACTATCGATCGACCGCCTATCTCGGCGCCCCCGTCCCTATTACCTATGTCCGGCAACTCGCTACCCCAAAATGTAAATAAACAAATCTCTTTGCGTGTTACAACCAAAAAAAGGCTTTTTATTGGGCCCTCAAGACCCTTACCACTCCGCTTGCCACCCGGATGCGGTAGCGGACACCGTCTACAACCAAGAGTTTGGCCCAGCGGCTGTTACGGGCTCTCTCCCGCTGTCTACCGGCCTCGGCTGCCACCCTGGACGGCCACTCTTCCTCAGCCATCTCCTGCCAGTGGCTGCTGTCCGCCGAATGCTGGCGGCTCACTGTCGGCCTGGCGGGTGGGGACCGCGGCTCCGGGCATGATGTCAGCCTGGCGATTTTGGGCGGCCGCGCGGCTGGCCCTCCTGCTGCTGGCCACACCCAGGGCCCCTTCTCCCAGCACTCCGGCTCCCCAGCGAGTCGTTTTGCTGGCGACGGCGACGGCGTTGGCACCCACGGCGGCGGTGGAGGCGGCGGTGTCTCCGCTCCGTGCCGTGGTGCCTGGAATGGCCGTGGTGCCTGCGGCGGCGACGATGGTGGCGGTGGCGGTGCTGCGGCCCGAGGCGGCGACGGTGGTGGCGGTGGCGGTGCTGCGGCCCGAGGCGGCGACGGTGGTGGCGGTGGTGGTGCTGCGGCCCGAGGCGGCGACGGTGGTGGCGGTGGTGGTGCTGCGGCCCGAGGCGGCGACGGTGGTGGCGGTGGTGGTGCTGCGGCCCGAGGCGACGACGGTGGTGGCGGTGGTGGTGCTGCGGCCCGAGGCGGCGACGGTGGTGGCGGTGGTGGTGCTGCGGCCCGAGGCGACGACGGTGGTGGCGGTGGTGGTGCTGCGGCCCGAGGCGGCGACGGCAGTGGTGGCGGTTGCGACAGCGGTGGCGAAGGCGGTGGAGGCGCTTGCAGCGGCGGCTGTTCCGGAGGGCCTGGCCGTGCCCAGATTTCTGCCTCTTCAGCCTCAGCCTCATCCAGCCGCTTCTGCCACTCCCTGGCTGCTGCGGCTGCCCGTGCCACCGCCCGCTGCGCGAACACTCGCCGCACCACTTCTGCCCGGGTTGCGAGTATACGCATTGCCTCCTCCGGGCGGCCTGATGGCGCTGCGTCGCCCAACCGGATCCGCCCGAATCCGGCTGCGGCCCTTCTTATGCGGCGGAATGCCATCCGGGCCTTTGCCGCCCGACGGGGCTCGTCCTCCTCGTCCGAGGAGACCTCCGGACTCACCGTCTCCGTCCCGGTGTCCTCCTGGGCTTCCTCCTCCTCCTCCTCGGACGAGGACAGGCTGATGGTCGGCACCTCAGCCTCCTGCCCTGCCGACCGGACGCCGGCCTCCTCCTCCTCCTCCAGCTCCACGTCGGTGATCCGACCTTCGTCCTCCGTTTCTGGGTTCGGCGACGGGGACCGCGACACCAGGGGGGACGCCAGCAGCTGGAGTGCGGAACCTGAGTCCCGCCTCCATCTCGCCACTGGCTGTTGCCCGGTGCTGCCTCCCCGCCCCTCTCCCCTCACGATTTGGCTGTTGCTGCTGCTGCGTGCTGGCATCTTGGCGACCTGATTTGAATAGGCCCGTCTTGTGGCGCTCGCGCGCTGACGAAACCTCGGTTGCCCATGTCTCCGGTTCCGTTATCCGCGGCGGCCTTTGGACTTTCCCTTGCTACGGGCTCCGACGGGTCCCTGCTTTGGTATGCGTTACCCGGTAACGGTATCCGCATCCTAAGCCCCTCCCTCTCCCGCTCTCGCGCTCCTATTGCATCTGTGTGAGTTCGATACTGTGTATCGTCCTCTCCCCTCTCTTCGGAGTCACAGTGCGCCCTTGCTAAGTCCGACTCCGATCCTTTGTTTTGGCCATCAATTACTTGTTTTTTTAATTGGCTAATGTGGGCGGTTTTTTCTTTGCCAGAATTTTCGTGCCGCAACTTGCATATAACTGGCGAATTAAAATTAATTATCTTAAACGGCCCATCGTACTTTGGTGCCAATTTTGCGGCGAATCCTTCTGCAGCCTTGGACAGATGGTGTTCCTTAGCCCAGACTGTGTCCCCGATGTTTGGCTTCCATGGGCGTCTACGGAGATTGTAATGGCGTGCCTGATCCTGCGCTGCCTTTTCCATATTTCTCCTCACCAGCTCGAAGATTTCTTTTAGCTTCTTGGCGTTCTCGGCCGGAGTTTGCGTTTCCCTTCCTGTGCCGATTGTTCCTTCATCGTACAGTGCGCTGGGTAACCTAGGCTCTCTCCCTTGCGTAATAAAAGCCGGCGAATATCCTGTGGATTCGGCCACGCTCGTATTCACGGCCAACTGCAGTTCCGGCCACTTTTCGTCCCAAGTCCTCTGGTCTGCCCCTGTGAACTGGGCGATCATAGTTTTCACCGTCCTTTTGGCTCTCTCCGTCGGGTTTTCCTGGGGCGTGTACGGGGCCGTGAACTGGTGACGGACGCCTAATTCACCCAGGAACTTTTTAAACGCCCTGCTGGTGAACTGAACGCCATTGTCTGTAATCAGTACCTTGGGCACGCCGTATCTTGCGAGGATCCGCTCCCGGATCGCCTTTTCCAGAGTTTCTGTCGTTGCCCTGCGCATTGGCACCATTTCGGTCCACTTGGAGAACCTATCTACCAGCACTAGCAGCATAGAATTCCCGTGTTTGGAGCGGGGTAGTGGTCCGACGAAATCTGCGCACACAGTGGCCCACGGCTCTTCCGGAACTTGGGTCAGCATTTTTCCGGCCGCCTGTAGTTGGCTTGGCTTGTATCGTAGGCAGCTCTCGCAGTTTTGCACATATTTCCTTATGTCGTGGTGCATTCCCGGCCAATGATATCTTGCGGCGACTCTGGCAATTGTTTTCCGACTGCCCATGTGGCCGGCTGTCGGTGAGTTGTGGTTCTCCGACATTACCCGCCGCCTGGACCCCGTTGGCACGCATAGCTTCCAAGACGTGACATCCTCGTTGCCTGCTCTGTGCGGTATGTGGCGATATAGCTGGTCGGCTTCTGTCATATAGTCTGGATATTTTTGGGGATTTTGGGAAATTTTGCTCCGCATATCCCTTATCCAGTTACACTCGCCGGTTTCCTTGTGCTGTTCCTGTGTTTTTACCCGTCGACACGTTTCTGGCAGTGGCTGTCGTGATAGTGCGTCTGCGACTATATTCAGCTGGCCCTTTCTGTATGCGATCTCGAAGTCATATTGCTGCAGTTCCAGCGCCCATCGTGCGATTCTTCCGGTTGGGCTCTCGATGCTATTCAACCACTTCAGTGCCATATGATCCGTGATCACTTTGAAGTGGTAGCCCTCCAAGTATGGCCTTAACTTGCGTATGGCCCACACAATTGCCAGGCATTCCTTCTCAGTCGCTGAGAAATTTCTCTCAGAACCATTTAGGGACCTACTGGAATACGAGATCACCCTCTCGCCTTGGTCGGAATTCTGTGTGAGAATAGCACCGAGCCCGTAATCGCTGGCGTCGGTCTGCAGCACAAATGTCTTTGTGAAATCTGGGCATGCTAAGATTGGGTCTGCTATTAGCCTGGCCTTGACAGCTTCAAACGCCTGTTGATGGTCATCTGTCCATTCCCATTTTGTGCTTTTCCGGAGCAGGCTATTCAACGGATGCACCAACGTTGCAAAATCTGGCACAAAACGCCTGTACCACGACGCCACTCCCAAATATTGTCGTAACTCCTTAACGTTGGCCGGTGGTTTTATTAAGGCAATTGCCGACACCTTTTCTGGGTCTGTTCCGATGCCTTGGTCTGTAATGCGGTGCCCCAAGTATTGCAGTTCCTTTCTAAAAAATTTGCATTTTTCCGCATTTACTTTCAGGTTGGCGGCCCTTAGTCTCCTAAACACTTCCTTCAGGTTTTCCATATGCTCTTCGAGTGTTCGTCCGATGACGATAATGTCGTCCTGATACGCGAAGGCATGCGGCATCATCTCTGGTCCAATGACTTGATCCAATGCCCGCTGGAATGTTGCCGACGCGGAGTGTAGGCCAAATGGCATCACCTTCCATTGGAACAGGCCCTTCCCTGGTACAGTAAACGCCGTATACTGCCTGCTGTCTGGCTCCAAGGGGATCTGCCAGTAACCGTCCTTTAGATCGAGACTGCTGATGTACTTCGCCTCTCGCAGCTGGTCCAGGATGTAATTTATCATTGGCATCGGGTATGCGTCCTTTATGGACCTCGCATTTATCTGCCGGAAATCCACACACAGCCTCCACTTTCCAGTCTTCTTTCTCACCATGACTATTGGTGAGCTGTAGGGACTCCTGGACGGCTCGATGCATCCTTTTTCCAGCAGCTCGTCTACCTTGGCATTTATCTCACCCTGCATTTTTGGATTTTTAGGGTAGTACCGTTGTTTGACTGGTTGGTCGTCCTTCATGGTGATCCTATGTACGGCCACGTTGGATGTACCATTTATTCCTTCCAGTTCGTCCAACTCGGCTTTTAAAAATCCCTCCACATCCTCTTCCGCAAATCTTTTGGGTGTTTCAACTATTGCCACTGACAGTTTTTCCTCCAGCCATCCACCTCGTCTATTCTTTGCCGGTATCGACGCGCTGTGTCCTGCGCACTCGACTTCGGCCCCGATTCTGGTGAGGAAATTCCATCCCAACACCAGGGCGTCGATCAGTCCTGGTAAAATCAGCAGCTCCATTGAAATTGTTTTCGTTCCCAGTCCAATTTTGGTCTCGAGCTGTGATCTTATTTCTCCGCAGCGACCGTCTGCCATCCGTACTTGCCTTCTCGTGGGTCCGACCCTTCCTGCCGCCTGCAGCCTGTCCGCCAGCTCTTCGCTGATGAAACTCGCCGTGGCGCCGGTATCCACCGTGGCCTTAATCTTACTTTCACCTATGAGCACCGTGGCGGACAGTTGCATTTCTTCCGCCTGTAGGTCGCCCATTAATTTCGAGAGGCAGCACCTTGCGATCCCTGGCCGCCCCTCGGAGGCTGGGGTCGCTGGGCGTTTCCCGACCCGGAACAGCATTGAACCGTCCGAACTCCTATTTTTCCGCATCGCCAGCAGAACGTAAGACGTTGGTTTCGGCATTCCTTCGCAAAGTGGTCTGGACCCCCGCATCTGCGGCAGGCCTGGGTAGGATTTGCCACGTATCCGCCGCGATTGTTTGCCTGTTCGTGGCCGCGTGGCGTACTTCGTGGTTGTGCGTCCGGGTCCTCCTGGCACCGCCTGCACACCGCACCCTGGTCTTGTCTTGGCCTTGGCACTGGGTGGCTCTGCCCTTGCTGCTTGCGGGGATTGTTTTCCAGCTCGAATTTCTCCCGCTGCTGGTCGAGCTCCTCAAATTCGTCAGCAAGCGCCATCAATGTCTCCAAATTTCGACATTCGTATGGGCGAACGAACATTCTGAGTGCCGGCGTGCTGTTCTCTTTTATCCTCTCCAGCGTTTCCTTGGTCGACATATTCAGTGGGCGCATCAGGGTCTGCATATCCACCATAAAGTCTTTGAAGCTCTCCCCGTAGGCTTGCTTCCTCTGTCTGACCTGATCCGCCAGCTTCGCCATGTATCCTCGGGGCAGAAAGAAATTTTGGAAGCTGTAGATGAAGTCTCCCCAGGTTTCCCAGTGCCGATTGTTGGCGATGAACCACTTCAAGGCTCTGCCTTGGAGCAGCTCCGGCATTGCTCGTGGGATCTGATTTATGTCGAGACCGTAAGTCACGACTGACCACTCTACTTGCTCCAAGAATTCCAGCGGCTTGTCGTTTCCGTCGTAGCGGAAATTCCACTCCCGGACCTGCTTGGCCACCTTTGCGTAGTCCTGGGTGTGTGTCCTGGAATTCTCCTTTCTTTCCCGGCTATTTTCCCGCTGCCGACTTGCGTGGCTTGCGATGCTCGACACATCCAAGCTCGCTATGAGGCCCTCGGCGCTTGCGGTTGTGATTTTAAATTTTGGCGTGGGCATTTTCCGGAATTTCTTTTCCAGGCCCGTTACCAAATCGGCGATGTCTGGCTCCTCTGCCGTCTGGTCGACGAAGTCTCCCAGCGTCTTCCTCATCGAATCGACTGAGCCCTCCAGTTCTATTCCTAGCACTTGGCTCACCTCGTCGAAGTCTTCCTTCCTGAGATTATAAATCCAGGACTTCCCCATCTCGGAACTTTTGTTTCCTTGGTCAGGACAATCACTCTTGGGCGCCAGATGTAACGACCTGATTCTTTATTTCTGCTCGCTACGTAAACGTGCGGCTAGCTCAGAGAGGTTGTGAGTTCGTTCCACCAAATTTATATTGAGTGACCGCCCGTGACCAAAGGATAACGCCAGAAATGATTAGGTTGGTGCTGGTTTATTGACTCTCTAAAATATAGCCTTATTGCTATTATTCTGCTGCCCGTTGTCGCTGTCTCCGGCTGCGTTGCTCCTGGCTCGCTGCTGCTCTGCTCCTGGCGTGCTGCTGCTTCGCTCTTGACTTACCGCTGTGTTGCTTCGGCTTGCTGCTCCGGGTGACTGAGATCGGTACGACTCCACCAAAACCCTGGATGTTATGCGAGCTTCCCTACCGGGGCCGGCAAGGTGTATCGCC